GTTTTGTTCACCAAAGATGTTGAGACTTTAAAAAGAGTACAGAGAAGAGCAACCACGATGATTAGGGGATTGGAGACTAAAACATGAAGAACGGTTATAGGAACTGGGCTTGGCTAGTCTAATAAAGAGAAGTACGGGGAGACATGATAGCAGTCTTCCAATATTTGAGGGGCTGCCACAGAGAGGAAGGGGTCAAGCTATTTTCTTTTTTTTTTTTAAATATAGTTTATTAGTTTTTACAATTAAAACCAGTCACAATACATACACAAATAAGCAAAAGAAAGAAAGAAAGAAAAGAAAGAAGAGAGAAGAGGAAGAGAGGGAAAGAATTTTAAGAAAAGAAAGAAAGAAAGAGGTTACAGGATTAAAAGTATTCTTATTTTAACAGTTTGCAAGCTATTTTCTAAAGTGCCTGTAGGCCAGACAAGGAATAATGGATGGAAACTGAACAAGGAGAGATTTAACCTGGAAATAAGGAGAAACCTTCTGACAGAACAATCAACCAATGTAACAGCTTGCCCTTGGAAGTTGTGGGAGCGCCATCACTTGAGACTTTCAAAAAGAGATTGGACTGCCATTTGCTTGGGCGGGGGTTGGACTAGATGACCTACAAGATCCCTTCCAACTCTGATTATCTGATTTAATCTTTTTAAATCAAGAGGAATGTGTTATCCTAAATCTGTGATGGCGAACCTTTTCGGCACCGAATGCCCAAAGCAGAATGCATGTGCATGCCTATGCATGTACACATGCTGGAGCACTAGAAAACTGAAGACCAGCTAGCCAGTCTGCACATGCCTGTTTTGGGGCCATTTTGGGGGCCATTTTTGTCCATTTTCAGGCATTTTGGGTGGCGGTTCCGGTCATTTTTCAGGCCAAAAAGGGCCAGAAAACAGCTCAAAAGATGGCCTAAAAACACCCTGAAAATACCCTGAAAATGGGCCAAAAACCAGCCTGGTTTTGGCCATTTTCCAGATCATTTTCAGGCCATTTTCTGGCCACTTTTCCAGCCAAAAATGGCCTGAAAAAGGCCCAAAAGATGATCTAAAAATGGCCCAAAAATGACCTAAAATGGTCCAAAAGACTGCCTAAAAATACCCCCCAAAACACCCAGAAAATGGCCTGAAAATGGCCCAAAAGACTGGCTAAAAACGCCCCCCCAAAGCAACTGGAAAAAGGCCTGAAAATGGCCCAAAAGATGGCCTAAAAAAACCAACAAAATGCCCGGCAAATGCCCTGAAAAATGGCCCAGAAAACAGCCTGTTTTTGGAGACCAGCTGGCCAGTGCACATATACATGCCAGAAACCTGAAGAGCAGCTGGTGATGGCATGTGTGCACACTGAGGATTCTGAGTACCACCTCTGGTCCTAAATAATTAACTGCAACTGCAACTTGCAACAGGATGTGTCTTTTTTTATTCCTGTTTATTCCTGTTCTTCATGTTTCTTTTATTAGAAATAAAAAAATACCTCTCTTAAAGAATGGAATAGGGGGTGGCTACAGACCAGTTCCATTCCCAATTAGATCAAAAGTAAGCCTGCTGGTTGTGTGTTCTCCCAAGAAATGAAGGACAGCTGTGAGAGCTCTAGGAGGACCTTTTGTATGGGGGAAGAAAATTAATGGTGTGGGGGCAAAGAAATACAATTCTGGGGGAGAGTCAATACTGACAGAAAATCACTTATGATTTTTATTACTATGTTAAGGGAGGAAGCTGAAATTAGGAAGATCACTTCTATTCTGCATTATATTAAGAAATTATTTGAATACAAAATATCTTATTCCTTACTTATACCTCTGAAGTAGATTTTGCTAAAACAGGAGAACAGATAGGGAAAAATGTTGTGTACTTTGTTGATTTATGCCAAATTCCTCTTTTATGAAAGCTAAAAAAGGGAAAAATTATGTGCATGTTTTAGATCAGATTTTCATCAGACATTCTTGGTATAATTTTTGGAGTGTCCATCAATTAATTTACCTGTGAATATATTGAGTTATTCTCACTTGCCAATCGATACATTTGTTATATCCCAAATATTTGTTTATAGAGGATGACCCTAATGTCATATGTGTAAGATAATTTTGGTCTTTATTAGGTTTACTACATGAAAAAATGAAGTGCAAAAGTGACGTGAAAATATACTATCTACATCTAACATTGCTCATTTTCATAATGACTGTAGTTTTGGGAACCAAGAACAAAAAGTCCCAAAGAAATACATTTTATCTCATTTTGTAATAGTTTATATGCAGATAGATGGGGGGGTTCAGCCTATGCTTTTGACAATGTTGAAACTTCATGTGTACGTTTGAAGTATATATGAAAATCTGGGTTATTATTATGGTAGCAATAGGGCAAATGGTATTCTGTAATTATGGACCAGAATATAAAGAGAGGGTTTATATTGTGTAGAAACTCATCTCTACAGCCTTTCTTTCCAGAATCTGTTTCAACCAAAATCACTATTCAACTCAAAATTTAAAAACATTATGATAATTTAATATGTAAGGTGCTGCCTCTACTCCCCAATCAGGAAAGTATGGACTCTTGAGACAGTAGCATTTCAAAATGAATCTTTTATTGAAAGGGAGTGATTGCAAGACAAAAGCAAAGCAGAGTCTTGAGTTCCCCTCAGGCAATTCCGTTAGGATAAAGTGGTTAGAGACTCCACCCTTCAGTCTAATGTTGAATGAGCCAATACACAGGTGCAAAGATGATGTGGAAACAGTGAGACGTTGTGGAAACAGAGAAAGAGATGAGTCCTTCCTATCTGCACATACAGTGGACAGACCAAGAGAAGAATAAGTACCCGCCTGGATGAACACAAAAATGCAGTAAAAAAGCTGGTCACACTTCCTCACTAGTCCAACACATGAAAGCCAAAGGTCATAGCATCAACTTCAATGGCACCAAAACCCTAGCCACTATAGAAAACCCCAGCCACAAAATTATCAGAGAAGCCATAGAGATTGAAAAAAGACCTGAAAGCATGAATAGAAGAGATGATTCCACCAGATTGTCAATTGTTTGGAAGCCTGCACTCACAAACAAAAAAATCTCCACACCACAAGCCAGCCAAACACCTGGGCACAAACAGATCCCCCGATACCTCCAACGCAAACACAACCCAGCCAGGCACCCAGATGAAACCTAGCTTCCTAACAAATGATAGCCGTCCATTTACTCGGAGCCAAGCTGCACTAAAAGCCTCCAATACAGGAACACAATGTTGCCAGCCAATCAAGACAAAAAAAAAGCCACAAAACAGACAGAAGATATTAGAAACACCAATCAAGCAGAACACAGCAAACTCCAAGACCAATAAACACAGACCAAGACTCCCCACCAATCAGGATGAAGAAAAAACCATTCTGGCACAGCAGAAGGCCTGCCCCAAATTTAAAACTGAAACAACTGTAAAAGTCTGACTCACAGATGAACACAATACAGAAGCCTGATGATGGCAGATGAGATTCTGCTGAAATGTTGCTACAACTTTAAAAGCACAACTATAATGATGTGAGAAAATACCCGAACAAAGCTGAATACCATATATAGATATATATGCAGACAGTCCCAAGAGATTGCACCCTTTGAGGTAAATAAGCCTATCAGAAATAAAATAATTGATGGTGCCTTAGAACTAGAATATACAATATAGTAATAGCAATTCTTTAAAATAATACTGGAAATGGGAAAAACACTTTGTAAAGGCAAATTCTGAGATCCATCCCTGGTTTTGGAAAATAAACAGGCTATCTGGCCCAGTCTTTGCAGTCTAATAGTAGTGATGGGGAAAGAGAAGTCTCACTAGTTAATTTTCTGGTAATCAGGTGTTTTGCAAATGGCAATACATCCCATAAGGGAATGTTGGTGAGAAACTCAAAATACTATCCACTCTTATGTATTCTGCTCAATGGGGCTTATTCCCAGATAAGTAGACATAAATGAGGTTAGATTGCCCCCAACTTTGTTGGCCTTTAGAAAGTTCTTGAAGATATCAGGCTTGGACATCTCCTGCAAAATGGATATATTGCCTGTACAATGTTGTTACAGGTTACTTTCTCACACTTTCTAATTGTTTTAATTAAATTATTCCAGTGTATCTTTGCTATTTTAACTTGTGAGCCAATCTGAGTCACCTAAGTGAGATGACCAGCTATATATAAATTGAAATAAATACAGCTGCCTCATTCTGCCATAAATTTGGTGGAGTGCATTCTTTAGTAGCTCAATATAAATAAACTTAGATGTTTCCAATATAATCAATAGTACTTAGCTTAACTGCATCTTCTCAGAAAAGGGTAAACCTGCTTATTAGAAAACAAATATAAAAATAAAACCCAGATGTATCAGATTTGGGTTGCAATATCAGGATGATCATTAGACAACAGCAGAGTCGTACATTCTTTGTATTCCAAACCACCAAAGACTGGGTACTATTGAATCCTATGAAAAGCACTCATACTGAATGCATCCAACAGGAATCCCATCACTGGTCACTTGAACGTCTGCCCAATATTTGTTTTGATGAAGAAAAAATTGGCAGCATAGAGACGATGCAACCAGAAAGCGTATAAATGATTCAACAATATACCACCTTTAAAAAGCACTGCAGAAAACTGCACTAATCACATTCCACGCGTTTCCTCCAATTTAGCGCCTCCCCACAACAAAGCTGACTGTTCTGCTGGTCCTGACCGACAACATCCATGCCCCTGAAAACAATGCGTCGCCTTCGAAGGTCCCAAGAACCATTGGCAGCCGCGTCTGCCATACTCCTGTCTCCAAAGAACACACATCAACAAGGCCCCGACGCGCTGAGGATCACCCGGGGGGGTGCGAGGAAGGAGGATCTGCCAGGGGAGACCCGCTGGTGCAACCGGGCGCGCTTCATGGTCAGCTATTTCAGCTCGGTCCTCAGAGCGGGGCGGGGCGGAGCTGATCGAGCCGGGCTGGCGGCGACACGATCAGAGGAAACGTATTACGCGCCAGCGCCGCTTCTGCTGCTGTTGTTGCGGGTCCTTGGGAGTCTAGTGGTGCTTGAATGAAACGACTGTCGCACGTATCTTTTCTCACTCGCGTCGTTCAGTTTCTAAAGCGCCGGCGCTGCTACAGCAAAGCGGTTGAGGAACCCGGAAAGGCCGGGCTGTCTCAGATTGCACCAGAGAGCTTAGCAAGAAGGCATCCAGCCATGAGCCGCACGTGTGGGATCTAAAAGCCTGTTCTGTTTGCCACCGGCCCCCATTGAAAGAGCATGCTCTGCGCTCAGCCCGGCTTTTTCCAGGTAAGACACGACCAGAATTGCCCGCTTTGCCTCGCTTGGTTGGTTGGTCCTTCCCAGTGGTAGCTGTTGTTACTTTCAGGCACCTTGGCCAGCATCCCTCTATTTCTGCTCTTAGCAGTAGAACCCGCTCCTTCTGCCTGGCTCACAATATAGTAAAATGTTCCTGCTGTCTTCCTCCCATCCCGCAGTCCCGAAAGCTAGAAAGGCTTTGGGTTCCTACACTGCAGCATTTTCCTCGTAGGTCCGTGCCAGGGTCTTGTGTTGTTGCGGGATTGGATTTGGACATGTTCAGGGAGTTACCAAATGCATTCTAATAGAAAGCCGCATTGGGGGGAGGAAATGGTCGGAACGTATTTTCCAGATTAAGTGCCTATTCCAAGAAAGAAACAAAATGGACTTCTCTTTTGTGGCTTATCACACAAAGGATGATAGTAATAGGCTAGGAACTATCAGGTATTATCAAGTCATAAAATATCCTGTAAAGCCTTATTAATTGATTTGTTTATTTAACGGAAGGGAAAATGTGGATGAGTGTGAAATGACAGCAAATCTGTCTTTTTTTAAATTCACCTGGTGGCATCTGATTGAAAATGTCAGAGAGTGGGAAGAAGGTAGCAGGAGGATTCTATTTATATGTGTACAATACAGCATTTATTGTCTGAGTGTCTCCAAACTATGCTTCCCCTTATTTTTCCGATTCTAAAGGGAATTAGAAGTCAATATGCATATACAAGAATACCTTTATGTTGCTGCAAGATTGGAGAAAGGAGTTGGGCACTTTTGGAATATATATAATAATCTAGTTATCAGGTTTCTGTAGCTTTGATATTTTTTAAATTAGATTTGACTGGATGTCAATGCAGCAAATTCTTACATATGGATTTTTGACTTATCTCCTCCTCACCCCTGTCTTGTTTAATGAATGGTATTTCGTTGACTTAGTTAAGTACTTCTGGTTTCTTTTCATATGTAGTTTAAAATTAAGATCAATGGTGCAATAATACAGGTTTTTTGTTTAATTTTTTTTCTTAGCTGCCAGCAAACATAGAAGTAAAGAGGTAGAGTTCACTGGATTTCACTGTGATATGTTCTTCAAATGAAAATGAACATTGTTTGGCCTGTTTTGGCCTGTTTATGTTCATTATTTTTAGAACTGCAGTGGCACCTCTGTTATGCTGCACATAGTAGAAGAGGAGAGCTGTTTTACAGCAGCCAATCAGGCTGGAAAGAACTCTTCTCCTGGCTGATTTTACTAATTTGTATGCATTTTTAATAAACCACTTGATTCAGTGGGGTGCAACCCTGGACTGAAGAGAGCAGCATTTAAAGGACAGAGGAACTGCTGCTTGGACAATGTAACGTAGCAGGTGATCATCTGTGCCCTTGTAAAGCCAGGAGCATATGAGGATTTTAGGTATTACAATAACTCATTTTAACTGGGGGATTTGAAATTTAGATTTTCCACCAAGAAGAGATTATAATTCTCCTGCTCTATAACTATCTTTTGTGAAGCAATGAAGTATACTATAGTATAGTGCAGGGGTCACCAACCTTTTGGACCTCAGGGACCACCAAACTCATAATTTTAAATCCCAAGGACCAGAGACCCTAGGAAAATCCCCCTCAAATTCCCACCCTGTTTTCTTACTGATCAATCACTCTTATTTGGGATTGCAGGATACCATCTCCAGCTCCGTTCTGGGGGGGGATGGAGAGCGGGGAGGAGAGAGAAAGAGAGAGACTGACTGACTGACTTTTGGCTTCATGCAAGGAAAGCAGCAGAAGAAGCAGAAGTTTTTCTTTCTCTCCCCCAAACTCCACCAGAAATGAATCTTTGTGAGACTTGTCGCACCGGTGCAGCATCTTGGAGTAGGATGCCTTGCAGTGTCCCAAAGACACATTTCTGGCGGAGTTTGGGAGAGAAAAAGAAAGACTTTTGCTGCTTTCCTTGCATGCAGCCAAAAGCAGAAGAAGGAAGAAGCGGAAAGAAGCAGCCAGGCGCATGGGGCGAGTGGGGCAGGTTCCCCCCTCCCCTCAATATCTCGTGTTGTTCACAATGGAAGCAATGCAAGCCTTTTGTTTCTATGGGCCATGTAGGCGGCGCAGCCTTGGGTTCTCTCGCAGCCTGGATTAATTGCTTTGGGGGTGACATTTCTCTGCAGACCACCAAAATTTTCTCACGGACCATGAGTGGTCCCCAGCCCACTGGTTGGCGACCCCTGGTGTAGTGTGTTGAATGCAATGTATGCTTGTCTATCTCTTCTAAAATGTACAATTGTTTTAAATAGTGTAACAATATTTTTATTTCTAATATGAGCAGCATCTCATATTAGTTATGATGTATTTTAAATAAAATTCTGCCAGTACTTTGAAAAGATACTAGAAAGCAGACTCAGCTGATTAAAAGTATATTTCATCACTTTGCTTTGATTTTTTATATTCTATTTTTATAATTGAGTATTGTGAGTGAGAATGCTTTTTTGTTATAAAGCTAATTATTGCAAACTTATGCTAATTAGACATTGAAATTTAGACAATGAAATCCTATGTTTTCAAACCTTATGTAAACATATTGTTTTGTGGTTATTTAGTATAGAGATGGCCTTGAGAAATTATACAACTTCAGTTAGAATAGCAGTATTTTATTCCAGTCAGGAAGAAGAAACCATCAGAAGAACCTCAAAATAGTTCCACCTTCATTGTCTAAAGTATCACATGGAAAATGTACTTAGGCTTTCAAGATTTTGTTATCAGTAAAATAAAATTTCTGTCAAATTTATGGAATATGTTTCCTGACCTGGTCCATCCTGAAAGGTTAAAATCTAGTTTCTAACTAGTAATGTTCATATGTAATATAAAAGGCAATATATTCTTTTTTGAATGAGTACATATAGTTATAATTAATTCCTATTGATGTGTAACTTATGAATACTGCAGTCATTTAGATATTAGATGCATTTTTTTTAAGTTCACGAATTTGCTATGAATTTCTAAGCAGCTGATAAATAATGTCTTTAACTTCATTTACAAGAGTTATGTCCATCACAGTCATATGTCATGACAGTCATAATATTGCAAGCTTTTTGTGGCAGTCATTAAGAGAATGCGGTGGTCATAAAGTGACTGCCACAGATATTAAGTGAATGCCATTGTCATCAACCAAACCAATGGTTTGCTTTGGATGCTATTTTGCTGAAATTTGCATATAAATGCTGGTTTTCTGTAAAATCATCGTAAAACGTGTTCATGTGACTGTGGGATGCTGCAGGCAGAGTTAAATATGGCCTGGGTGCTGAGCACCCAGAATTCAGTCACTTGATTGATGTCACCCAATCATCAGAACTTTGAATCCAGGTCTTAAGTAATCCTAAGGAGGTTTGTTCTAACCTGGAAGGGTTGTTAAGTGATTGCTCATAAGTCAGGAACTATCTGTATATGTATGGGTAACTTTCAATAATAGTGAAACCACAAAACAATAAATCTATAAGACAAAAATTCCCTGGCACTTTCAAGAAACTATTCACAGGCTCACATCTCACTTTAGTCAAACTGTCCCACAAATAGCCTGACCTTGCGCACCTTAAAATATACTCATTAAAAAAACCTGAAGCCAGTCCAGCTCACACAACAGAAGTATAATAGTCATTAAACAAAGGGTGCCCAATAATGCAGACACTTTTCTATTCTGGCCCACAGTATAACTTCCAAGGGATCTTCAAGGATAATCTGATGTAAAGCATATTGCAATAGTCCAACTGAAAAGTGCCTGTGAACCAGTCTTCCCTATCCAGGAAAGGGTACAATTGAGACAAAATAGGAATTTGTAGAAAGGCCCTCTGGCTATAGCTGCCACTTGCTCTTCAAACAGGAACTTGGAAGCCAGGAGGACCTCCATATTGTGGACCAATTTTGCTTGTGCTTTTGGTTTGTCTTGGACATCAGAATAAATCATGAATGATGTCCGTCTCCTGCACTTCTTCATTCAAAATACAGCCTTTGTTAACAAAGGTCAGAAGTTTTAAAGTAGCAAATAATGCACCGTAGTTGCTGAATTATGTTCAAGCTACTGACAGAACCAGTCTTGCTTTTTTCATTGCATGATAACATGCAATCCTCCAAATGTCAAATGACTATTCACATTCTCAACTACTGGCTTAAATTGAGGAAACTTGGAATCCATCAACAACTGAAGGTCAGTGTTTCCCAATCAGATGAGTTGGATTTATATCTGTCATTAACCATTGTTGATGTTAGGATTTATTGTACTTATGTGAATTGAAATTCAATGCACAACAAATGCAAATGTTTCAGAAAGATTAAACTATATCATTAATATAATATCCTGACTGATCTGTGAAAGGATTAGAGCTCAAAAAAGCTCTATCAGTCAATCATTGATTGATTATGTACTATCAAGTTGTTCTCAACTCCTAGTGACTTCATTGATCTTCTTCATGATAATCTATTCTAAACTGTTCTCTCAAGTCTCCCAATGATGCATTCATTGCCACCATAAACCAAACCATCCACCTTTGCTGCTAGTCATCTTCTTCCCTTTTCTTCCATTTCCCCAGCATTATAGCCTTTTCCAGAGCAGAACATAATATACATATCACTAAGATGCCCACCCAAATTGTGGGAATGCCTGGTGTTTATTGGTTACTATTTCATAATGACCCTGAAATTAGAATAAAGGGAACATTTTATCTCAGTTCTATTATTAAGAAATAAGACACTAGAACAAGGATTTTCAATTTCTTTTCAGGGTGTGGAATCTGGTAGCTAAAAATGTTTCCTCCCCCCAACCCAAACAAAGTTCAAGTGATGAACTGGCTGAATTGGCTACATTCACCCGAATCCCCCCTCCCCAGTCTCTCCTATAATCGCTCCAAGCTATTCTGTTTTCTTTCTTCCTGCCAATGTCAGTTAAATATTTAGTTGATATAGAGATTTGCTTATACAAAGACATTAGAAACATTACAGGTAGTCTTTGACTTACA